CATGCCACGAAGGCGTGGCAAGGAGGGGTGACCCAGGCGGTGGTGCCAGAGAAGAGTCTGGTGCGACAGGGAACGACACTCACAGGCGTGGCCTACCAGACCTGACGCAGACACCTGACCGATAGCAGCGACCTGAGGAGACGCAGTGGTCAGTGTGTAGAGACTCGACCCCGGCCGACGGGTAAACGTAGCCAGGTGACGGCCGGTCCTGGAGCACGTGCAGATCGCCACACGCTGTCCTCCAGGGGTAAAGGTGTCAACCCACTGATCCTGGAGGACAGCGTTGCTCACCAGGTTCGTCGAGAACGAGGGGAGGTGGAAACCCGACAACGAGCCAGACGGAGCCGCCGGACAAGGGAGGACAGTGGTGGACTGGGCAAGGACTGGGCCCCCAGAGGGGTCAGCCAAGGAGACTGGGACCGGTGCAGGAAGCGGTGTGAGCTCAGTACTGTCACGAAAGAAGCAACGGGAAGCACCTGAGTCAAGGGTGAAGGTGTGACAGGCCTCAGCCGGTGCGGTACCTGAGAGAGCAGTCTCTGTGGGTGCTGTACCTGAGAGAGCAGACTCGAAAACAGCCGGGACAGCACTGGAGGGAGCAAGTACAGGGGGCACCATACCAGAGAGAGCAGACTCACTAGTACCCAGGGCAGCGGGCTCTATACCTGGGTCAGGCGGCACACACAAGTAACAGTCTCCCTCGGCACTAACAGTCAATGCATACATGGCAGCAATAATAGCATCAAAGTCAAGAGCAAAGACATCAACACCAGCCCTCATGAGCTCAGCCCAGCGGGGGCGCTCAACATCCGCACCCATCTCCTCACGCCAAGCGTCGTCAAGGCGGGAGAAGCAGCGGTACGGGGTGTGGAACCTCCCACACGTCTGTCCCTTGCGGTCACCTGTGCGAATGACATAAGAACAGCGGCCACTGCCCCCCGACGTCCCACGCTGAGCAAGCCACTCACGAAGCTGCTGGGTCGTCTGGGGACGCTGCTGCTGCTGGGAGCTCTGGCCCGAGCCAGTGCCTCCACTCCGACCTCCGCCGCCACCACTACCACCGCTACGACCGCCACCGCCACCACCGCCACCACCGCCACCGCCGCCACCGCCGCCGCCGCCACTACTGCCACTGCTTCCTCCGCCGCCCCCGCCTCCACCACCGACCCCACTCCCACCAGCGCTCCCGCCACCGCTCCCTCCAGCACCGCCTCCCCCCCCACCTCCCCCACCTCCTCCCCCCCCAGCGCCACCACCACCACCCTTGCCCCCCTTGCCCTTGCCGGTGCGGCGCCTCCCACCAGGAGCAGAAGCAGCGCCAACAGACTCAGCACCAAGGAAGTCAACAGCAGCAGCAGCAGCGTAGGAGGGAGCGAGGGGAGAGGGAGAGCATCCCTCAAAGATGGGGGTGCGAGGAGCGCCACGAGCAGCACCGACAGCTACAATGCTCTTTTCGGCCGCGAGCAGCTGCTCCTCTAGGAGGGTGACTGTGAGCTCAGTGGGACAGCGAGCAAGGAAGTGGTCTCGAACTGAGCTGAGGGTGTCAGGGAGACGGGTGACTATGAAGTGGAGTGTCCAGTACAGTGGAGGGGGGTTCTTAGCGCAGAACTCGGTGGGAAGGGCGGCACGCAGGCGAGCATCACTAGTGCGAAGGTGGGTGATAAGATCGGCGACTGTAGCAAAGGTGGACAGATCGGGGAACAGGTACGGCAGCATGAGGCGGCTAAGCTCGGCTGTGGCAGGCGAGGAGTAGCGAGCAACGACAGCATCGTACAGGGCCTTAGCGGATTTGCAGTCGCCAAAATGCTCGAGCTCAGCTAGCGGCAGGTGACTGCGAATGGCTAGGCGAGCAGCTGCGTCACGAGTCTGCCAGTGGGAACGAACACTAAGCTCGGCTGTGGCAGCAGGAGCAGCGGCAGCACCAGACGCGTAGTCATAGAGGGAGATGTGGTCCGTGCTATTGCTCATAAGATACAACTGCAGGTCGTCGAGCCAGGAAGTGAACTGCACGGGACGGCCCTCAGCATCGAAGGAAAGAACGCGAATAGAGGCCATAGCTCAGGCGTGAGGGCACAGCAGAGCAGCGGCAGCAGCAGAGGGGACGCGCTAGAGCGAAGCTAGCAGCCACAGCAGGAGCAAGCGGCGGTGCACAGGCAGGGAAGTGCGGCGGGCGGGCTGCAAGTGAGCGGGCGACGCTGCGAAGCGGGCAGCGGGCGAGCGGGCGACACTGCGAGCGGGCAGCAAGCGGGCGGGCGACGCTGCGAAGCAGGTAGCGGGCGGGCGGGCGGCGCTGCGAGCGGGCAGCGAAGCGGGCGGGCCGCGAAGCGGGCAGCGAGCGGGCGGGCGGGCTGCGAAGCGGGCAGCGGGCGAGCGGGCTGCGAAGCGGGCCGCGAAGCGGGCAGCGAGCGGGCGGGCGGGCTGCGAAGCGGGCGGGCCGCGAAGCGGGCAGCGAGCGGGCGGGCTGCGAAGCGGGCGGGCCGCGAAGCGGGCAGCGAGCGAGCGGGCTGCGAAGCGGGCGGGCCGCGAAGCGGGCAGCGAGCGGGCGGGCGGGCTGCGAAGCGGGCAGCGGGGCGAGCGGGCTGCGAAGCGGGCGGGCCGCGAAGCGGGCAGCGAGCGGGCGGGCGGGCTGCGAAGCGGGCGGGCCGCGAAGCGGGCAGCGAGCGGGCGAGCGGGCTGCGAAGCGGGCAGCGGGGCGAGCGGGCTGCGAAGCGGGCGGGCCGCGAAGCGGGCAGCGAGCGGGCGGCTCGGCGGGCGGGCGACACTGCAAGGGGCGCGCGAGGGCGCTAGTGAGGGGCGCGCGAGGGCGCTAGCAAGGGGCGCACGAGGGCGCTAACGAGGGGCGCGCGAGGGCGCTAACGAGGGTGCGCGCGAGGGCGCTAACGAGGGGCGCGCGAGGGCGCTAACGAGGGCGCACGAGGGCGCTACGAGGCTAGGGCACGGGGTAGCGTGGTAACCGCATGCGAGCGGTGGTGGGCCCTTAAAAAAAACGGTCGGTAGGTCCTAGGGACCTCCTGCTCTGAATACCATGTCACAATAACTAGGCAAGAATGAATGAACTAGCAGAAGTTTGGGTACAAATATGAAACCCTAGTTGGGGTTGTACCCCATATTGGCTACCCCACTACAGCCTACAAGCATAATACAGTTTAACAGCATGAAGCTGATGGAGCCGCGCTCGTACGGAGCAAAGGTAGGCTGCTGTTGGTTTCCGCGCGCGTATGATGAGCCGTCGAGACTCATGGGAGTCACATCGTTGTTGTTGTTGCTGTTGTTCGATTGCGCAGGTGCTGACTGCTGGTGTTGCTCGTAAAACGACATGAAGGAGAAAAACTTCTCCATCATGCTCTGGTCGAAGCTGGCAGGCTGACTTGCTGAAGGTGCTGCTGGTCTTGTTGCCGTGCCTTCCTCTGTCTGTAGGCCAGAGGCAGGAGGTGGAGTAGGTGTAGTGCCCTGGGAGCCGTTGGAAGAGCTCCTCTCCTTTTGTGTTGCCATGTCTTGTGATGACTTGATAGTAGTTGAGTTTCCCTTGTGAGCTCTCATACCATGTTGGGCTGAGACAGCCCTTAGGATCTTTGCAAGGGTAAACTCTGGGTAGAGATGATGTAATAGCGGAAGCGTTTAATGAAGAGATTTGAACCACCTTGCGCTGATATGTGAGGGCAAAGTAAGTTGATTAAAGCAAGCAAGTACAAAGATTTATATAAGAGTCCAAGGAATACAAAAGGATACAACTAATAACTACTTTGCTGTTTGCTGTTGCGGTTCGATACAGTGCGACTCGGGCAACTGCTCAATATCGAGTCAGTTGTGTGTCCTTGCTGTCGCGCTGCATTTGTCAGGTCAAAGGTCGCTGACCTTTGACTTTCGCGTAACCTCCAACAGTTACTTTCAACCTCCGAGGGTTGACTCGCGGGTGTCTCATTATGATTTACTTCGCTTTGCTGTGGTGTTTCGACACGACAGAGGCGCTTACGACTTGTTGTTTCCAACACTTGTCAGGTCAAAGGTCGCTGACCTTTGACTTTCGCGTAACCTCCAGCGGTTGCTCGTGCATGTCAACCTCCGATGGTTGACTCGCCGTTGTTGCGTTGTTGCTTGCCTCGTTTACAAGTCAGTGTTTTCGACACGACAGAGGCGTTTTAAATCATTTGTTTCCAACAGGTACAAGTATCAAACCCTAGAGGGGTTGTACCCCATATTGGCTACCCCACTACAACCTACACATATATATCACATACGGTATATAATTTGACACATAAAATGTGATGCCATGCCCGCCATAGAGTAGCCCAACTTAGCCCACCGAAGCGTGGGCGTACAGGGGGGCGTCACCCTGAAGCTGGCTCCATGGGTGGAGCTTGACATCGAGTAGCCACGCGACAGAGTTGATCGCCCGCCCTTCAGCATTAAGCCGCAGAACAAACTCAGTCGCCATAATAGGAGGGAACGTGTACAGGTAAAGAAGATGAGAGGAGACATGCTTATGAGGAGAAGATAGAGAAAAGGTAAACCCTAAACCGCAGCTGCAGGCATGGCGGAGGGCACACGGGCGGCAGACACAGCTGCGTGCTCAGCAACAGGTGCTACCGCAGGCGCGCGACGACAGGCACGTCGGCAGGGCGTGCGGTAAGCTTGTGGTACGGCAGGACACGGCAGCGCTTGCTGCAGGCGTATGGCAGGCGCGGGTGGCAGCAGCACGGGTGTGGCAGGCGCAGGAGGCTCCGGCACGGGCACGGCAGGCGCGGCAATGGCAGGTGCGGCAGCGGCAGGCGCAGGTGTATAGAGGGGCGAAAGCGAGGGTTCGAAGCAATGAGTGGTACCATTTAAAAAAGCGAGGGTCCTATAATGAGGGCATACTGGTGGAATATGTACCTAGCAATCCTCTCTAGAGCACAACCCAATCTAGCCTACTATGACAAATGCAAATATAAGTATGTGTTCTTTGACAGTTTCGGCAACTAGCCAATCCTGAAAGCGGTTTAGGGTAACTTAGTAGTTATCCTTTATTTTGTCTCAAACATGTCCACAAGAACAGAGGGCGCTTGTTGAGTGATGTTGTTGAGAGGGATGTGTAGGTCGCGCGCGAACACTCGCTTCACCAGCTCGTATGTTTCCTGGCGATTCAATGGGGAATGGAAAAGAAAGTTGATGTCAGCAAATAAATAAGGAACAATTGGAGGACCAACTTCCCATTCAGACCATTTCAAATCGCTGTCTCCTTGTCTGACCACGCATACCTTCCCCATCCGTACTTCTAAAGCCAATACCGTACCTGGCTCAAGATCCCTAAAGGTGCGCACCTTGTCATATTTTTTCGCAAGCTTGGTGTCGGCGCGGGTCTGGTGCGCGTTGACGCCGAAGTTGAAGATGTCGAGATGGTCGCCTCCAAATCGGTTCACCACATACTTGGCATCCTCCTCCAGATTCTCAAACCGCCCCACAAAGTCGTACTTGATCTTGTCCATGAAGCAAATGTCCGACTGCAGATTATAAAGAAGAAAAGAGAGAATAGAACATTCAAGAGAGATTGTCACACCATCGGCCAGAGCATAGAAGAGAGCATGTGCTGACGAGCTGGAGAGCATGTGCTGACGAGCTGGAGGGCATGTGCTGACGAGCTGGAGGGCATGCGGTGACCAGTGTGTGCCATGACCTGCTTTGTTATCGCTGTACGGGCCTGCCATGCAATGGGCCTGCCATGCCATGTGCCTCACCTGGGATGCCATGTGCCTCACCTGGGATGCCATGTGCCTCACCTGGGATGCCATGTGCCTCACCTGGGATGCCATGTGCCTCACCTGGGATGCCATGTGCCTCACCTGGGATGCCATGTGCCTCACCTGGGATGCCATGTGCCTCACCTGGGATGCCATGTGCCTCACCTGGGATGCCATGTGCCTCACCTGGGATGCCATGTGCCTCACCTGGGATGCCATGTGCCTCACCTGGGATGCCATGTGCCTCACCTGGGATGCCATGTGCCTCACCTGGGATGCCATGTGCCTCACCTGGGATGCAATGTGCCTCACCTGGGATGCAATGTGGCGGTCCATGCGCCAGCGGTGGTTGTGCATGAGCTTCGCGACGAGCTTGACAAAGTCAGGGAACGACACCAGGTCGTCCCTCCCCTTCACCCTCTCCCACTGCGGCCGAATGTACTTGAAGAATTGCTGCGCGTGGAGTCAAGAGGAGGGGGGAAAGGACAAGGAAGGATGATGGTGAAGAGGTGAAGAGGTGAAGAGGTGAAGAGGTGTCATGCAGCATGGGACAGCAAAGCAGCCCCATTTCAAAAGACGTGCGTGATGGCAAGCACTAGTGGCTAGCAACAGGCAGCACAACACACAGCACAGCACAGCACAGCACAGCACAGCACAGCACAGCACAGCACAGCACAGCACAGCATAACCGCACACCCAGACACACGCACCTCGTTCCAATACTCGCGGGACCCCGGGCCGGTCTTGTTATTCGGCGTGTCCGTGATGACGAGCTTGTTGGAGTAGGCGGAGAGCACCCGCGAGAAGGGGTTGCGCACGAAGGTGAACTTGAAGTAGTCCGGGCGGGTCACCTGCTGCACCGCCTGCTGCTCCGTGAAGTGCAGCGTGAGCATGTGCCAGCCCGCTCGCCGCGGGTCCAGCGCGAGGATGGGGTCCTCTGGGTGCGGCTGCCCCAGCATGGCGCGCAGCCACATGAGCCACGAGTTTGCCGCCACCTTGGGCATCGTGCACACCATGAGCTTCAGTTTTTCTGGAGAGAGGTGCACGGAAGAAACGTGAGAAGGGATGGCACGGGAGGAAGAGAGGAGAAGGAATGAGCACATCGGCCATGGTGCGTGCTGCAGCAGCTTGAGATTTGAATTGTTTGGAGAGGGGATGCAATGCAGCGGAAGAGAAGGGAGAAGGGTTGGGCGGGGGTGATGGAGGTGGATGGGGCATGCGATGCATGGGGCATGAGATGCATGGGGAGAGAAGAAAGATGATTAGGCGGATTTGATGAGAATTGAATGGCCGAGCTGCAGTCAAGGTGCATTCAAGGCAAGGCAAGGCAGCAGGTGAGGTGCGCTCAAGGCAGTGAGGGACATCTCACCTTCCACCTGGGTGAACATGGCCCACTTCTGCTTCGTGATTGGCCGCAGCTCCACCGACTCACACACCGACCGGTGCACTCCAAACGACGCCGACCGCGCGCGGCCTTGCGCTGTAACGAAGCGCGCTTCTATGGAGGACTGGTTGACTGCCAGCAGCCCCCGGGCGAAGCTGAGGGTGAAGAGCTCTGCTACCTGCACGGGAGGAGATAAGGCTGACGCACGTGAGGAGAAAGACTAGAGTATTCAAGGCGACCAATGACCTAGATTAGTGAAGCAGACGGACAAGGGAAGCTGAGTGAGTGCGCGACTGCTGAGGTCACTGCTCGCTTGGTCCCTCACATCATTCCCTTCTCAGATGGCTTCTCTCAGAACCGTGCGCCGGCAGCTCACCTGCAGCTGGCTGCACTGCGTCACTTGCGCCGCAAGCGCTCGATCCGCCCCGCGTTGCAACACCAGCCCTGCACCTCCCCCCCCCACACCCCCGCCCCCCGCCACCACGCTCCCATTCACTCCCCCTACCACCCGCCCCTCCTCCCCACTCTCCACCAACTCCCTCCTTTCGCCCTCCCCCTCTTCCCTCCCCTCCACTCCCCCCACACGGCATGATGCATTGCGCTGCTGGGTGCTTTTGAGCACGAGCGGGGTTCTGAGATGGCTGAAGTAGCTGCTCAGCACCGTGATGTCCGACGTGTTGAGGCCTCCCACTGTGAAGCTCACCCCCGGGTCGTAAAGGTACTCCATTGTCACTCGCCGCATGGCGCAGTGCGGTGCAGAGCGGTTGGAGTTGGCGGTGCAGCCGGAGCACACGCCTTGTGTCAGTTGCTGGTGGGTGAAGAGCGCGCGAGGAGGAGAGTGGTGACATGGTTGGGTGTGTAGGGGAAAAGGAGGGGTACGGAGGGGACAGGGGAAAGGAGGTGGGCAAGGGAACGGATGGGTGGGAAAGGAAGGGGGCAGGGGAAATGATGGGCGCAGAGAAAAAGGAATGGGCAGGGAGCCAAGAAATAAGAGGGGCGCAGGGAGAATGGGTAGAACATTATCCCTCACCGCAGTCACTGCACCCCTCACTGCACTCCACCCCTCTCCACACTCACGTCAACCAGCACGGCGCTGGACGCCGCCACGCGCGCCAGGTCCTCCTCCACCACCATCGCCGCCACGGCGGCCGACGGCCGAATCGCGGCCAGACACGTGTCCACCTCGCGCTCGAACGCGCACGCGTTCACGCGCAAAGGGCCGGTGGATTTCTCCCGCACGGCCGGCGACAGGAAGACCTTGAACGGCAGGCCGCTGGCGGACGGCGCGGGCTTGCCGTCCGTCGAGTTCTTGCACGGCTTGAACGCCACCTGATGCGGGGGAAGGGGATGCGGGGGATGAGAGGGGTGAGGCGGAGGGGTAGAGGTCGAGAAGAGCGGCCAGGGACTTGAGGGGAGCGCGGACGCAAAATGATGATGCGGAGGACGGGGAGGTTAGCATCCGGAGAGTAACGGGCGGAGAGTAACAGGGGGGAAGTAACAAGCGCAGAGAAACAGGCGGAAGGGTGCGCGGAGGGGTGTCAACAGAAGGGCATCGCAAGGGCGATGCGAGCAATCGACTACTGACTGCGAAGGGCGAGCGGGAGCAAAGAGCACGACGCAGCCGTCGGCGGCCCTTGAGCGCGCAGGGCACGGCAGGGCACGGAAGGGCACGGCAAGGGAAACGGAAACAGCCAAACGTACCCGTCGGCGGCCCTTGAGCGCGCGCCTCAGCATGCCCGCTTCGGCGGGCGTGTCCTGCACCCACACGCTCCCCTCGCGACCGCTCTCGCCGCGCGCGCGGGATGACGCGGGGTCGTGCGCGAGCCGGAAGAGGTGGCGGAAGGTGGTGGCGGGCAGGTGGCGGTCGGCGGACCAGAGGGCGAGCGTGGGCATGTTGGTCACGGCCGTCAGCGCGTACGCTGCGCACACCGCGTGCACGCGCTGCGACACAGAGCCCTGAGGGAGAATGTGCCAAGGGACGGAGTGAATGAGGGAGGGGCGGGTCGTAGAGAGGGGAAAATGGGGGACGGGAGGGTCGGAAGAGGGGCGCCGCTAGTAGTTTGTACATACGATGCTGTCTGCGATTTTCGGAGCTAAAAGAACGCGAGGACATTGAAAAACAATAGAAAAACAAGGGGGCGACGCCGTTGGAAACGTCTAGTCGTGGGCGATGTCTCTCACAACCTCGTGAGACACGAGAGGTGTATTCCATCAAAGAAATCTCAGAAGTGGTAAGATGATGACCTCAGCAGCCCTCCACTCCCCACATACCGCGGCCACGAAGACCGCGTCGGCTCGTCGCACAGGGCAATCGCCGATCGCGTCGCTCGCGTCGCATTTCCACGGGTCTTCGTCGAGAAACAGCTTCGATAGCGCGTCGCCGTTCGCCCGGTCGGAGTCGTCCGTCACCTTCCACCAGCCCATGGACAGCTTCTTCGCGCCCATGGCGAGCGAGCGGCCCTCGAGCATGACGGCGACATTAGGGTTGCACGAGGGGCCCATCCAGTGGCCCACGGTGTAGAGCGCCATGAGCGGCAGCAGCACCATTACGACGCACCGCTCCCATGACGCGGCGCGCGGCCGGTCCGGAGTTGCGCAGACTTTGCGCTTGTGGAAGAACACCATGATTGGCGAGCCGCGTGTGCCGCCCCCCTCCACGGACGGAATTATGTTCACAGAGGGAAGGGATTTGGCTGCTCGTCACCTTTCGGGCTAGGTCGTTTGCGATAATGTGGGTATGCTGAAAAAGTGCTTTGGTTGAACGGCTATGTCTGTTGAGCGTGGCGGATGCAAATTCAGAAGCAAGCGCGTGCTTCACAGGCGACTGATCACGGCGCTCGCGTCTGCAAAATTGAATATAACTTCGAGGCTACAAAATTCCACTTTTTACGAAGGGAGAGCAGGGACCAGCAACTCAGGACATGTAGGGGGAACAAGAGGCAAGGAATTCAGAACCAGGGGGAAATGGTGAGGTTGTGCAGTGGGAGTTGGTTTGGGTTGCGATGCGACTCACATTTGTGCCGTGAGGAACAAGCGCACCGCTACCTCCCGCGCCGCACGCGCGAATTTTCTTGCCTCTCCCTCCCTCTGCGACCTGTGACTTCGGACGAACCTCGCCCCAGGCCAAGTCAACCTGTGACTACTCACGTTCGGGGCAAGCTGATAAGAACAAACCGCTCTAGATTGCACAAAATCGTACTCAAACGTTTAAAGTTACATACCACGCGTGTCTCGCACTTATCACGGAGGTTCATGACGGAACCAGACCAGTTGCTTCTCGTCAGGAGGCTCATGTTTGGTAGGGCGAACCAGGTCACTGGCGGGAAAAACAGAAGAATGTGCCAGAACACCTGCTCGAGGAACGACATTGCGGAGTTCCCGAAGTTGTCGTATCGTAACCTTTTCGCTCCCAGCCTTGTCAGGTAGACATTTTCAGTGAGGCCCTCGGCCAATCACCTTCGACAGCAGGAGCTTCAGCTTGATCCTTTGTGCAAATCAACGGACCTACAAACCACGCGCCTCTTTTCCCCGTGGGAAATGATCAGATTGGGGCCCCGAAGCTCTAGAAAGAGTGCCAACTTGGGGCCTCGTGTTTCGCGAAGTGTCGAACCTGGTCCGGACCTGTCTCTAACCAATTTCGGGCCTCACTAACGCGCTCCGTCAGACCTGACCACACGAGGTGACGGATTTCTGAACGGACAAGCTGGCAAAAAATATAAACCCCATACGGCCATGCATTCGGTCAGGGAGGCATCAACCCTAAACACCTTGTCGCATGTGTTTAGGCTTGATGCCTCACTAATTTTATGCCTTTCGATTCGGTTTTATATTTTTTTCACACTGCGATAATGTTAAAAGTTTGGGTTATTTCGCTGAAGTATCTGTACTGCCCATTGTGAATGGGCTGACGAGGGCTCCTCCCGTCAACCAGGGTGCTAGCGAAATCCGTCAAACCCAAGCCAGCAGGTGGTGACCTGGCGAGCTCGGCCTAGCTGCCTAGGCTTGTAGGTTGCTTCGGGCCTTCTTCGTAGGGTCGCGAATCACGAGGCCCCAAGTTGGCAATCTTTCTGCTAATCCGAGGCCCCAGTATGATCATTCCCCTTTCCCCGTTGCCCCTGTCTGTCTCTCGCCTACTGTACCCTACCCTACCCTCACCTCCGCCCCCAATCTGGCTGCCCCTTTCAAAGCCAAGCCTCCCGCGAGTCCTTTCGTTCGGCCTGTTCTTTCTGTCGCACGGGCGATCTTCGTTTGTCGTCAACTGTGGCCTTTACGACCCGACATTGTCGCAGGTCAGGGTGCGAAAGGTCCTGACCAGTGACGAGCTGCAGATCTGGTGAATGGATTGAGCAGTGATGCGCACGGCGAGTAGGAGCGAGGTCAAGTTTCCGAATCTCGTTTGTGATCACCTACCACGAAACTAATGACACCTAGGTCTACCCGAGTTTCCATCAACACAGTAGTTGACTGGCTGACTGCTTGCGCTGCCGTCCCGCCGCTTAACTTATTACTGGGCTTGGGGAAGGACTAAGGGCGGTATGCACCCGTACAGCGATCGAGCCCAATCCCACCCCATCCCCTGCTTTTTAGAAGCCTCGAGTCGAATCTGAAGAAGCGGGAGCGATATCGCGACGTTCTCTCGATGTGGTCTCAGGTCTCGGTCTAGATTAATCTTATTCTTTAAGAAGCCTCAAAAGTTGATGCAGCTCCAGATTCAAGCTTTACAGTAAGCGTGACTAAGCTCAGCAGCTACTACAGCCATGACAGGAAAGAAGAAACACTCTAGTAGCGTGTTTCGAATAGTCAGAGGGCTCGGCGCAGCGCTGCTGCTCGTTCTCGTCTTAAAGCCCATCGTGCCGTGCCTGTGGTCGCGGGAACCCGGCATCTGTCCAATCCTCGAGATCCCGCCTCTCGCGCGACGAGAGATTAAGGAGACCGTTGACGCCACGAAACTGGATTCACGAGTTCCAGTCTCTGAAAGTGCGAGCAGCGTTTCGGAAACGGTAAAGAGCGAGGCAAAGAAGCTGGAGGAGCAGCGGGTGGGTGATGCAGCAGCAGCGGAAAATGGCAGGGAGTTAGCTGCTGCGAAGCTCGCCTTATCCGCTGAGCTCGATTCACCTAATAACGAGGATAACTTCTTATCGTCGCAAACGAGAAGTTCGGGTGTAGAGGAGGAGGCGGAGGAGGAGTCGCTGAGGGCAGCCATCGAGGCGATGTCGGAAGAAGACAAGGAGCGCGAGGTGAAGTCGCTGTGGCGCTGCCAGGGCGGATCCGGCGCCGTCGACTGCTCTGAACCGCAGTCGCTCTTGCTGGCCGAGGTGAGCGAATGCAGGGCGAGGTGAGCGAAAGGAAGGCGAGGTGAGATGCGATAGCGGTGGATGAGGGCGATGTGCGGGTATTGCAGCGGTGTAAGATGCGTACGAGTGAGAATGTACGTGCGAATGCCGAGGAGTAAAACGCGCACGAATGCATTGGAGTCAGATATGTACGAATTTCATGTAGCGCGTACGTACAAATGCCGTGGAACAAGTTACGCTGAAACGCCATGGAGCACATAACGTACGTACGGACGTACGAAGGTCAAAGAACCATACTGGCAGACGCGATTGCAATGGCATGGCCTTATCAACCGTTGGTTGAATGTGGGCGACTAGGTGAACGTGGTGGGCGAAAAGGTTCTGTGCGGTGGGAGGACGTGATGACGCAGCGGCGAAGCGAAGACGCTGCGCAAGAACTCACGTGCCCCAGGCTGCTCTGTCTCAGTGCGTACAGCATTGCGCTCGCAGCAGCGAGGCGAGAGCTGAGGGGTGTGTGTAATGGGCGGCAATGGTGTCGCATTATGTGTGCTCCGCATGAACCTCGCATCCATACGCCACCCCTTCTTCTAATCCCTTCTCCCCTTCCCCCACCTCCCAACCCCCCCCCGGGCTCGCTGTGGGGGTGCATGCACGCGGTGTGGGACCATGAGGGCTTCGCCTTACCAGCACACACTCAGGCTCATCCCCTCCCCCCTCTCCCCCACCTCTCCCCCTTCCCCTCTTTTCCCTCCCCCCTTCCCCCCCCTCTTCCTCCTCCACCTTTCCCTCTCCCCACACCCCCAGGGATCTCTATCGGAGCGCGTGCACGCGGTGTGCGCGGCGTACGCGCTGACGGCGCTCACCAGCGCGCCCACGCTCGCCGTCTGGCCCGCCGACCGCCACCTGCCCGCCACCACCTTCCGCCACCTCTTCCGCCCCGCCAGCAGCATGGCCACACCCCCGGGGGACGTGGTGGACAGCGCGGTGAGCGGAGAGGCGCGCGACGTGTGGGTGCGCGGCGTGGGCATGGCCAGCAGCGAGCTCACAGCCCGCCTGCCCGCGCCACAGCAGGTGGGTGGGCCGCTGAGATGGGCTGTGGTGGGCTGTGGTGGGATGTGTGGGGCTGTGATTGGCTGTAACGATTTGTGGTGCGCATGGCGAGCAGCGAGGGCAAGGCGAGGTTGCCCGCGGCTGTGGTGGGATGTGGTGCGCTGTGGTGAGCTGTATTGATTTGTGAACGAAGCACGACTTGTGAAAGGTGAGGCAACCGTTGATAGATGGCTGGGTAGCAACGTACGAGCAGCCTCATCTGCGTTTGGGCCTTGTCAAATTTGATCTCTTACCTGCCACTCACCCCTTTGCGCACTGTGAATTCCCTTCCACACGCTCCTACTCACTTCCTTCCCACTTCTGTTCACCACTCGAAACCGAGCTCCCTCCCAGGTGATGCTCAAGGAGTGTCCACGAGGCAGCAGGAAGAAGAGCAGGCGCACTGCCCTGCCCTTCCGCCGCTACCTCTCCCCCTCCGCTCCGTCCCAGGTGTGCCATCTCCACCTCTTCCTCTGCCTGCATCGCGCATTACCTCATCCCATTCCCCCATCCCATTCCCTCATCCCATTCCCTCATCCCATTCACTCATCCCATTCCCTCATCCCATTCCCTCATCCCATTCCCTCATCCCATTCCCCCATCCCATTCCCTCATCCCATTCCCCCATCCCATTCCCCCATCCCATTCCCTCATCCCATTCCCCCATCCCATTCCCCCATCCCATTCCCTCATCCCATTCCCCCATCCCATTCCCCCATCCCATTCCCTCATCCCATTCCCTCATCCCATTCCCTCATCCCGTTCCCTCATCCCATTCACTCATCCCATTCCCTCATCCCATTCTCTCATCCCATTCCCTCATCCCATTCCCTCATCCCATTCCCCCATCCCATTCCCTCATCCCATTCCCTCATCCCATTCTCTCATCCCATTCCCTCATCCCATTCTCTCATCCCATTCCCCCATCCCGTTGCCCACCTTGCCTCTACCTCTCCCACTACCTACCTCCCCCCACCCCAGCAGGCTTCCGGTGCTCTGAACCTGGACGGCTGCGCGTACGACAAGCACGTGGACGCGTGTCTGGGGCGCCTGCGCCCCTCCACAGCAGTGGGCGAGCTGGTGATGCGGGAGGACCTGGACGCACTCAAGCTCTCCAAGGCCATCTATGTGTCGGTGAGCCAGCATGCATGCACCCACTCACCCACTCACCCACTCACCCACTCACCCACTCACCCACTCACCCACTCACCCACCGCATGCATGTCAACAAGTGCATGGCAGCGCACGGCCTTCCGCGGCCCTCCACGGCAGAGGGCGCGCTGGTGATGCACAGCGCAGCGCTGCCATGGTTGGTGCAGGAGGACCTGGCCTGGCGCCACTCAAGCTGCCCAAGCCCATCCACGTCTCGGTTAGCATGCATGCACCCACTGCCTGTGCAGATGCGAGAGTGAGTGGCGAAGGCACCGATGTGTCAGATTGAAGCTTCGTCTCCCTCCTCTCACCTTCCCTCTCCTCCCTCCCCTCACCTTCCCTATCCTCCCTTCCCTCACCTTCCTTCTCGTCACTCCCCTCACCTTCCTTCCGCCTTCCCCTTTCACAACCAGAACTCCCCTGCTGGTACCATCTGTTCAGGCTGCCCCCGGCTGACCAACGCATCAGCCCCACTCGCGTGCTGCGTCACCATGGCCTTCCCCCCTTTCCCCCCTTCCACCACCAGAACCCCCCTGCTGGTACCCCCTGTTCCGGTTGTCCCCGAATGGCCAACTCGTCCGCCCCCCTGTGCGCCATGCGCCGCGTCACCATGGCCTTCCTGCACGACCCCCACGTCTCCTTCGCCCTTGCCGCCCGCGCCGCCCCTGACGTCACCGCTGTTGGGGACTTCTTCAGCGAGCTGCGCCGCCCGCTCGTGCTCAAGGCCAGCCAATCACGGCTGGATACGTGTCAGGAGGGAGGGAGGAGGGAGTTGGCGGAGGGGAAGGGGGTGCTGGGGAGTGAAGTGGGCGGGACCAGCATAAAGTGCGCTCAGCTGCAGGTGGGAACACACGCCAGTGCATGGTTGAGTGCGTGTGAGCATGGGTGCATGGGTGCATGGGTGCATGGGTGCATGGGTGCATGGGTGCATGGGTGCATGGGTGTGAGATACGCTCATTGTCATCACATCACAAACGGCACTGCTCCTCAAGCCTCCACTCATCCCTCCCGCACCCCTCAACCGTTCCTCACCGCCTCCACGCGCAAGTATGCTGTTCACTTCGCCTACCTCTGCTGTTTTCCTCTCGCCCCTCTGCCCCCCCTCCCCCGTCTTCCTCTCATCCCAGCTGCCATGTGCACGTGCTTGCTTTTTTCCTCTCCCCCTCTCCCACTCTGCCCCTCTCCCCTTCTCCCCTCTTCCCAGTGCTGCACCCCATCCCCCTTCCATCAATCTCCCCTCCCCCCCACTCCACCCCTTTCCCCGTCCCATGACCCCCCCATTCCCCTCCTCTCCACCTCTCCCCTCGCCTCCACTGCCAGGCAGCGGAGCTGTTCGCGCTGAGCTTCGCGAGGGCGCTGGTGCCGATCCACCGGTGGGCCATCGAGCCGCGCTTCATCCTCGCCCAGGGCTCCCGCCGCTCCCCCGCCTTCCAGGTGCCCCCCCCGCCTTCGAGGTGCCCCCTTCGCCTTCCAGGTGCCCCCCCCGCCCCGCCCCTACTTCTGCTGCTCTGCTCTGCCGCCTTGCCGCCCTCCCAGCCTGCATCTCCCCTCCTGCTGCTTTCCCCTTCTTCCCCCCTTCCCTCCTGCCGCCCTGCTCCTGCGTGCCGCCTGCCATGTGCCACCTGCCATGTGCCGCCTGCCATGTGCCGCCTGCCATGTGCCACCTGCCATGTGCCACCTGCCATGTGCCACCTGCCATGTGCCACCTGCCATGTGCCACCTGCCGTGTGTGTGACAAAGAGACTGCCTTGCCATCTGATCCCACTGGTTTCCTTCTCATCCTCCAAACCATCTTTGTACTTAACAGCCCTAAGCACCACTACCCACTCAATCGTTTAGGTGCAAGTTCCTAACATGCCTCAATCGTTTAACCCATCCTCGCCTGTGCTCGCCCCCCTGCCCTGTGCTCGCCCCCCTGCCCTGTGCTCGCCCCCCTGCCCTGTGCTCAAACCCCCCGCCCGGTGCTTATGCACCCCCTCTCTTTCTCTGCATACCCCTCCCGCTGGCATGTGCTGCCAGGTGCTGCCGTCCATCTGCGAGACAGAAAGATTGCCGCCCATCATTCGCCACCGGTGGTCGTGGTTCACACAGGTGGAAGGTGAGAAGGTCGTGGTTCACCCATGCGAGTCTGAAATTTCATGCCAGCATGCACCATCTCAGCATGCGCCACCTCAGCATGCGGGCCAGAAGGGCGCACCCATGCCCCCCAGTGCCCTCTCTCCCACCCATCCTTCATCCGCCACCTCCCTCCCCCCCGGCCATTCCACACCAGGGAAGGTCAAGCAGGAGGTGTGCACGGTGTCCCAGGTGCTCCCCCTCTGCTTGGGCTTCTCTGGTGCTCCATGGACTATGCCCGTTGCTTTTCCCGTCCCGTCTCTCCCCATGCATTGCAACTGGCATGCCGCTGTACCAGACAAGCCGGAGCTGTCGTGCGCACGACCGCCAAGCTGCGCAATCAATTGACGAGGCTCTATAGTTCTCGAGCCCCTCTCCATGCATTGCATCGCATCTCATGTGCCCTGTGCCCCACCAGACAAGGAGCTGAGCTGGTGCTGTGCAAGATGCCCAAGGTGCTCCATGCACCACGCTCAGTCCTTCTCCCGTCCCTCCCCATGCATTGCATTGCATTGCATTGCATTGCGTGTCTGTCCACCGGGCCCCTGCTGCAGAGAAGCTGAAGCTAGTGGTGTGCACCATGCCCAAGGTAGCAGCCAACTCGTGGCTCATGTGGCTGCGCGCCAAGCTGGGGCAGCCCAACCCGAATGACCCCATTCTCGCCCTCGACGTCGACAAGGCGGGCTGGCACCTGCTGGGCCGCCACTTCACAGAGAAGGAAGCAGTGAGTACAGAGCTCAGGTTGACGGCAGTTGTTGTGCTTTGCAATCATCTGCAATCATCTGCAATCATCTGCAATCATCTGCAATCATCTGCAATCATCTGCAATCATCTGCAATAATCTGCAATAATCTGCAATCATCTGCAATCATCTGCAATCATCTGCAACCCTCACTGTCAATCATCTGCAACCCTCACTGTCAACCCTCACTGTCAACTCACACCCACTTTCCATCCTTCCTCAATCCACCTTCTCGCTCTGCCCCCATTCTCTACCCGCCCCTTCCTCTCAGGTGCACGTGTCACCCTGCAGCATCACTTTCAATGCTCAAGTTCCGTGAACACTTTTCGTGCCCATTCCCCATCCGCACCCCCTTTGCCCTTCCCCTCTCCCCCTCCCCCTCTCTGCAGGTCCGCCTGGTGACGCGCCCTGACTTCTTCCGCTTCACCTTTGTGCGCAACCCCTTCTCGCGCGCCCTCTCCGCCTACTCCAACAAGCTCGTGGTCACGGACACGCCCAACAACAAGACGGGCCCAGGGTCCAGAGAGTACTGGAACGAGGTGAGTGTGAGTGAGGTGAGTGTGAGTGAGGTGAGTGTGAGTGAGGTGAGTGTGAGTGAGGTGAGGCGCACGGCGCTTGACGGGTCAAGAGAGTACTGAAATGAGGTGAGCCAAGTGGGTGGGGAATGAAGTGAGGGGTGGTGAGGAACGAGGTGGGGGGGTGACGACTGAGGTGAGGGGTGGTTAGGAATGGTGTGATGCATGCTGCACTTGCAGCATTCTCTCTTATTCTGTCCCAAACAGCGCTTGATTTTTATTTCTGGAGTGCCAGGCGGCCGGTGCAAATGCACGCACACACCTCTTCCAACTATCATAATCGCCTCCTCCTTTCATTGCTCTCGTTGGACCCCCTTTTGCATGGCATGGCATGGCATGGCATGGCATGGCATGGCACAGTAACATTTCTTCTGGTTTGTGTGGCCGCAGTTTGAGCTGTTGAAGGGTGGGCACGACCTCTACTGATGCTCATCTCATCTCACCCAACCCCTTGGCCCCTCACGCCAGCGTTTCTTCCGCTTCGTGCGGCCACAGTTTGAGCTGATCAAGGGCGAGGACGACCTGGTATCGTTCCCCGACTTCATGCGCCTCGTGGCCCTCATGAAGAGGAACTTCCGCTGGAAGATGGACCGCCACATCGCCCCTCAGGTGTGCTTCTCGTCACACCTGGGCTTGTAGCGCCAGGTGGGATTGTGATGGCATGAACGCCAAGAAAGGAACTTTCGGTGGAATATGTACCGCCACATCGCCCCTCAGGTGTGCTCTGGTCACGGGTGGGCTTGTGATGGCCGGTGCGTTTACGTTGGGACTGTGTGCTCAGGGTGCCTCGTCGATGCACTTGGAATGACACGTGCGCCTGTGATGGCAGGTGCGCCTGTGATGGCAGGTGCGCCTGTGATGGCAGGTGTGTTTGTGATGGCAGGTGTGCCTGTGATGGCAGGTGCGCCTGTGATGGCAGGTGTGTTTGTGATGGCAGGTGTGCCTGTGATGGCAGGTGCGCCTGTGATGGCAGGTGCGCCTGTGATGGCAGGTGCGCCTGTGATGGCAGGTGCGCCTGTGATGGCAGGTGCGCCTGTGATGGCAGGTGCGCCTGTGATGGCAGGTGCGCCTGTGATGGCAGGTGCGCCTGTGATGGCAGGTGCGCCTGTGATGGCAGGTGCGCCTGTGATGGCAGGTGCGCTAGTGGTAACTGCATGCTCACAGAGCATGCAGGGCAGCCGCATGAGCATGCATCATTACCTTGCTTTGCCTGCCTCTTATGTGCCACTCCTCAACTCTCTGCGCTGCTGTCGCCTCTCTGCTGCCTCTGCTGTCTCTGCCCTGCCTCTTCTGCCTGTGCTGCCTCTGCCTGCCCTGCCTCTGCTGCCGCTTCTCGGCCTGGCTGCACTGCTAGCAGGTGGACGTGTGCTTCATGCAGATGATCAAGTACGACTTTGTGGGGCGGTTTGAGAATCTGGAGGAGGATGCCAAGTATGTGGTGAATCGATTCGGAGGCGACCATCTCGACATCTTCAACTTTGGCGTCAACGCACACCAGACCCGCGCCGACACCAAGCTTGTCAAGAAATACACCAAGGTTAGATCAGGTGCAGCGGCTGCTGTACGGTCTGGGAGCTTCTGAGTCCTGACATGGTCGTAAAGGTTACCTGTACCGTTTGTTTTGTTTTATTTTGTTTGTTTGCATGTATGTTTGTTTGTTTTGTTGGGTGCTGTGTGGTTGACCTCTTTGTGTTTTCCTGGTGCAGGAAGCATATGAGCTCGTGAAGGAGGTATATGCTCAAGACTTCTTCATCCCTCTCAATAATATCACACAAACGGCACCTCCTGTTCTATCTCAGATCTTTGAGGGTTGAAGCTCATTATTTCCAAGGTAGCCAAAGGCTAGCAGAGGAATTGTTGTGCGGTTTGGCGAACACCATTAATCGGTAACGTGTGAGGTGCAAGGCGAGGAATATGATCATTTACACTTGTATGTAACCTTAAACCTTACTCTAGATTGGGCAAGTCCCGTTTCCAAAAAGAATTCTACATACGGTAATGTTACGTGTTTATCAGTTTTAAACCTCTACCTTCGCTAAAGTGTAACTGACAGTTCCCGCTCGCACTTCGCTAAAATGTAATTGATCACGGCAACTCGAAATTACATTCATAGCTTCCCCACCCCGTTTCCGTTCTTTTTCCACTACCCGAGATTCTGGGGCCCCACACCAATCGAGAGGGCCTAAACGAAAGAGAATTCGTGGATCTAGGGTCAGGACCAATCAAAAAGCTCGGCTTTTTGCTTTGCGGCATCGCGCTCGTGCGAGGTCACCTGCAAGGAACGTGATCAGCCGCCATTCTCCGGCCGGCTTCCGCCCTCTCTCTCTGCTCCGCGCTTTCACCGCCTCAGATCCCCCCGCGTACTTCCTTCCTCAGAGGCGCACGAGTAGCTCTCCGCTCAAACCTCCCCTCCCTCCCTGCCTAATGGCTCCGCTTACCATCTGCGCAACTTCCCGCCGCCCCTCGTCCATTGGCGTCTCCTCGATCTCACCCTGCTACCACCTACCTGCCATTGCGCTGCCGCATTTCTCCGCTCCGCCCCGCCCTCCTCCCGCCAGGCGCCGCCACAGCAGCCACCCATCACTGAGGGTTCTTCCATTTGCTCAGCTGGCACCCAAGGGATCAACAGACATGCATTTCCCCAGTCGTGCACTCACCAGCGCTGTCTAACAACCAAGGACCAACGTTCCTTGTTGCGCTCCCACCATCTCTCGCAGTCACTACATAATTGAGCAGCTGCTGTATCTAGCATCGTCACCTAATCACAACAGCAGTAGAATATGGCGGCATTGCGGCGGTTACCGCCGGGATTCGGCTTCCGCCCGACGGACGAGGAGCTGGTCCAAGGCTACCTGCGGCGGAAGGTGGAGGCCGCGGAAGGCCGCCGCGCGGACGACGACGACGGGCTGATCGCTGAGGTCGACATTCTCCGCTACGAGCCGTGGGACCTGCCCAGCCAGTCGCCCCTCGAGGCCGGCGAGTGGTACTTCTTCTGCGCTCTCAAGAAGAAATATCCGCGCGGCTCGCGCGCGAATCGCGCCACGGCGAGAGGGTACTGGAAGTCGACCGGCAACGACAAGCCCGTGCGCAGCTCGCGCACGTCGCCACCAATAGGGTTCCGGAAGACGCTCGTGTTCCACCTGGGGAGGGCGCCACGTGGCGAGCGGACGGACTGGATGATGTATGAGTACCGGCTGGAGCCCGCGGCCGTGGCGGACTACGTGCTGTGCCGCTTGTTCAAGAACAACGAGCTGCCTGCTGCAAGCGAGCCGCTTGCTGCGCAGCTGATGGATGTTCTGGGGCTCGAGGAGGCCGACCTCCTGCCCCTCGACCCTGCCGCCGCGCCGCTTCCCATTGTCGTGCCAGTGAGCGACGTGGATTTGGACACATTCTGGGAGAATATTTTGCGGCAAGCTGTGTCGGCTGCGGGGTCTGCGGCGGGCTATGTGACGGAGCATGGGGCGAGCCACATGGCGGAGCATGGGGCGAGCTATGTGGCAGAGCAGGAGGAGAGCCATGTGGCAAAGGCGGACGAGTGGCGTACAGTGGAGCTGCCTCCGCCTGATCTGTCCGAGGGTTTCTCCATGGACGAAAGCCACGCCGCACCCTCCGCTCCTGCCACTTTCGTTGCACAGCGTGCGATGGCGGCACCCGGTGGTTCCGCGCCTGCTGCCCTTGCTGGCGCAGCTCTTGGAGCGGCAGAGCGACGGCCATTCAGTGCAGCGGCCGCAGCAGCAGTACCCTCAAGGTCGGCGGCGCCCGCGCCCTGGCCACCAGCGCGCGTGCCGCCAGCGCTCGCAGCCGGCGCAACCACCATCGCAGCGCTGGTCGCAGCGCTGCCGAAGGCCAGAGCGGCACAGGGCGCCGCCACTGCCAGCAGCAGCAGCAGCAGCAGCAGGGGGAGGCTTCGCACCGCTCGTCGCCGCTCCCCTCGCTGCCGTTCCTTTCGCCGTGGTTCCCCTCTCTGTTGCTCCCCACACTGCCGCTCCCCTCGCCGCCGTTCCCCTCGCTGCCGCTCCCCTCGCCACCGCTCCCCTGTGCGGCACCCCTGCGAGAGCAACGGGTCGGCCGAGGTCGCGGCCTGCGCGCGTAGCTGGCGCCGTCATGCACGGCCGGCGCATGCAGGCGCTCAACGCGCCGCAGCTGGCGTGTGGCAGCAGGGGAGCGAGGCTGGCGAGCAGCGGCGGTGGGCGCAGCGGCACGCCGTCTCGGAATCTGGGCGCGCGCCCTGCGCCTCATGCACAGTTGCTTCTCGCGGAGGTATTCGGCTGCTGCGCTCGTTTTCTCAAGCCTTTTGCTTTTTCCAGGCTTTATTTGTTTCTTTCCACCGTTCCGCCTCATGGCATTTCTTGACTCTTCCGCACCTTCCTCCTCTCTGTCTCTTTGAACCAGGCCAGTGGCAGTGTGGGTGATGAGAACTGTCTCATGGGTGCTGAGAACTGTCTCATGGGTGCTGAGAACTGTCTCATGGGTGCTGAGAACTGTCTCATGGGTGCTGAGAACTGTCTCATGGGTGCGCAAGGGTTGTCTAGGGATCAGCATGAGGGCATGGTAGCAGCAAAACCCGTAGCAGCAACACCCGTAGCAGCAACACCCATAGCAGCAACACCCGTAGCAGCAACACCCGTAGCAGCAACACCCGTAGCAGCAACACCCATAGCAGCGTTTGATGGGCGGGGTCTGGATTCACGCATGGAGCTCAGCGCCGTTGCAGGTACACCGCTAGCTAGCCACCACCGCCCTCCACCGTCCACGCGTGCCTTCTAACCGCTTATTCTCATCTGTTGCGACCTTTTTCCACGCCTCTCTTTTTCCACGCCTCTCTTTTTCCACGCCTCTCTATTTCCACGCCTCTCTATTTCCACGCCTCTCTTTTTCCACGCCTCTCTATTTCCACGCCTCTCTATTTCCACGCCTCTCTATTTCCACGCCTCTCTATTTCCACGCCTCTCTATTTCCACGCCTCTCTATTTCCACGCCTCTCTATTTCCACGCCTCTCTATTTCCACGCCTCTCTATTTCCATGCCTCTCTATTTCCATGCCTCTCTATTTCCATGCCTCTCTATTTCCATGCCTCTCTATTTCCATGCCTCTCTATTTCCATGCCTCTCTATTTCCATGCCTCTCTATTTCCATGCCTCTCTATTTCCGCGCTTCTGATGTGTTTCCGAGAAGCCTTTGCTTCTCCCTTATACGCCTTGACAGTCGCTGATGGGTCATGCCTGTTTCTGCGTGTGTGTCTGCACGCGCGTGCATGTGTGTGTGTGTGTGTGTGTGTGTGTGTGTGTGTGTGTGTGTGTGCGTGCGCGCGTGCGTGCGTGCGTGCGTGCGTGCGTGCGTGTGTGCGTGCGTGCGTGCGTGCGTGTGTGTGTGTTGCCGTCTGCTCTGTTGTGTGTGTGGCAGGCGTCAAAAGGTATTTCAGTGTGGACGACCTGGATGGACACGTGGCTCGCATGACACACCACCCTGCTCACGCTGCTGCTGCTGCTGCTCATGCCACTCCTGCTGCCAATGCTGCTGCGACAGACGGTGCGTTTTGTGGTCCTGCTGCTGGGCCGCCAGGTGCGCTGTGTGTGGTAGGCCAAGAGGACACAAGGGTCAGGATACTGCCCGTGTCGCAGGATGTTGCGGTAGAGGCCGGTGCGGTAGAGGCCGGTGCGGTAGAGGCCGGTGTTCCTATAGCTGACGGCATGTCGGAGACCCCTTTGCCCATTGCCCCTACCATGGCTGCACCCAGCCCACCTGTGGCCGCTGGGCTGCATCTAGCCCCTCCGCCCGTCCCTGCTGCTCGAGCGGTTGCCCCCGCTGCTGCTCCTGCAGCAGCAGAGGTGGTGCTTCCGCCCCCGGTGGCAGCACCAGCAGCAGCTGCGGAGGTGGGGGCAGGCGGGGCAGCAGCTGGTGCCATGGTGGTGGAAGGGGGAGGTGCGGTGGTGGAAGGGGGAGGTGCAGTGGTGGAAGGGGGAGGTGCGGTGGTGGAAGGGGGAGGTGCGGTGGTGGAAGGGGGAGGTGCGGTGGTGGAAGGGGGAGGTGCAGTGGTGGAAGGGGGAGGTGCGGTGGGGGAAGGGGGAGGCGCGGTGGGGGAAGAGGGAGGTGTGGTGGTGGAAGGGGGAGGTGTGGTGGTGGAAGAGGGAGGTGTGGTGGTGGAAGGGGGAGGTGTGGTGGTGGAAGGGGGAGGTGTGTGTGCCGGTGCTCATCCCTTGGCAGACCTCATCGCACAGTTTGCTTGGAAAACACGCGCGCAGCGCCACCTGTGGCAGCAGTACCTGCCTGCTCAGCGCTCAGTCAACCTAAGAGTTGCTTCTGCTGCTGCTGTTCCCACACCAGCAAGAGCAGCAGCAGCAGCATAACAGCAGCACGGACATGGGCAGGTTCAGATGCAGTGGCTGTTCCAGCTTAAGCAGGAGCAGATTCAGCAGGGTGGTGCGGCGGCACAGAGTGACCGGCTGGGTGGGGTTGACTGGCTGCACCAGCCAGATACTTGCAGCGTTGCTAGCAAATATAAAATGCGTGGCCAGGGCCATAGGTTGTGGTGCAGTGACAGCAGAGGAGTTGGATGGGTGTGGGCACTAATGGGCGGCTGAAAGAGCTGGAGGAGCTGGAGGAGCTGTCTCCCTGGACGCTGCTTGCTCTGCTGCTGCGGCCGCTGGTGGTGGCAGTGAGGCGATGGCTGCATGAGCAGACGCTGCTGCTGTGGGTGGCCTTGGTGCTTTGTTGTGTTTCTGTGGGCGTGCTCTTGGCACCTGGATGGCACTTCAGGTGAACATTAGACAGGGGGGTTGTTTTATTTATTCCCAACAATTTGAAAGCTGCAAACATTGCAGCTCTGGTGGCAGCAGGGCTCTCGCTAGGTTTTGGCCCTGTCTGAGAGTATAACTAAAAAAAAAAAAAATTTCTGAGGCCAAGATGACCTACTTTCAGTTGTCTTTAAGTAAAGACGAAAACTTCTAGTGAGTCTGATCTAGTAGACGAAATAACAACCCCGGTCTGAACCGGTATGTAGGATTTGCCTAACTACAAATTACACCTATCAAAATGTTCAGAAGTTAGCACCTAGATAACTAGCAACCTAGTCAGAGTCACTATCAGCGCTGTCATCATCATCAATGTCATCTTCGCTTTCCGCAAAAGGGTCTGGAGCTTTTCCCCTATCTTTCCGACTGAGCCAGGGGTATTCTGCATCAAGCCTTGCGACTTCTGCTGCTAGGGCTGCTTCTCGGGCTGCAGCTTCTGCTGCTGCTGCTGCGGCTGCTGCTGCTGCTGAGGCAGATCTCTTCTTCGCGCGCTTGCTGTGTCTCTCCCCGGAAGCCATCAGCACATCTTTTGAAGTGTTGAACCTCCTCAGCAGCTCGGGCCAGTCCATGTCATAGCTGAGAAGCGAGACGGTCATCAGCTCCCCTAGCTTCGCGTCACACAGGTTCCCGCGAAGCCAACTCTTGATCACATTCTGCCGTGAAAAGCCGCGCTCGCACTCAACCGTGCTGAGCGGAAGAACGGCGACAGCGATCCACAAGTGCACGAGATTCGGGTAGCAGGTCGTCCAGTCGGGAGACGACAGCATGAGCTTCAGGCTGTCGGCGAAGCCCACATCCTCCTGGTGTGTGGCCATGATAGTAGAGAACGTCACGAGCTCCCTCTGCGCTCGCGCCCAGTTGATGCCTGCGGGGTTAAGGGTTAAAACGGTAAGTAGATGCAACAAATGAAGCACGCACGTGAAGCATGCTATGCCCGGGTTTGGATAAGCAATCAGCATATAGGCCTAGGTATTGTACGTACCTGGTAGAGTGTCAGGGTCGTCAGGCTTCTTCTTAAACATGTTGCGCAGAGACTGCAGCCACTGTGCAAGTTTCCGCTCGCGCTTGGCTTGGTTCTTGGGATACGAACCCTGCTTGAACAGCTTCGCCCCGTCGAGGTTGGCGAGGTCCTTCAGGCGGTGATCAAGCCTGCCGATCAAGGTTGCCACGAACGCGCGCGCCAACTCCAAACACGCCCCGTGGTCCGCACCGCTCTTCTGCCCCTTGATGGGCTCCTCGTGGAGTGTGTAGGTAAGCTCGGTCGAAGTTCCGTCGGACGATGTGCCCGCTAGCTTCACCTCACGACAATCCCTCGACGCGTGTTTCTTGAGGAAGGGGCCCAAAGCATCTCCGCCCTGGTCGAAAGACTCGTCGTCGGCGTCGAGGTATCGAGTGCGCAGCAGCAGAGTCGTGTTGTGTACCATCGGCAGCACATGGGTCGCGTCCACCTGAAACGAAGCACAAGTGAAGGTTAGCACTTAACGTGGGTTTGGGAAAAACGATGCTTGAAATGCAGAACACACGCTCACCTGGCGACGCTGGAACTTCAAGCTTAGAAGGTTGAGCTCCTTCAGCACGTCCGCTAGGAAGAACAGCATGAACTGAAACTTAAAACTGGTGATGACCTTGTACATCTTCTTGTCAAACTCGTGCAAGACAAACACGGCCGCCGGAAACACTTTCACCAAGCGTAGAAGAGCTTGACAGCCAGCTACACGACAGTCTCCTGGCAGCAAATGCCACTCGGTTCGTGACAGCGAGGCTGCTACAAGACACGCACATTGAATGCGCGTGCAGGTACAGGGCAGCAACCATACTTGTACCTGTGGTCCTTTGGTCTACTGGGCATATGGCCTAGTGGTCCTATGGGCTAGTGGGCAAATTTGACGGTTTCAGACGAAACCGAACTGGATATCTGTAAAATCGGACGAAGTATTCTACATGGTCTGGAAAATCATACGAACGTAAAGCCTTTCTCTTGCTCTTCAGATGAGGGGAAACGAAATTTCTGAGAAAACAGATGAATACAAAAAATCACGTCTGGAATTCAGAAATCCAGACCAAATTGGTCTGATAACAAGAGCCCTGGGTGGCAGATAAACGACCACCATTAGGAATGAGTTGTTCCTTTAAACAATAAGAATGTGCTGTACAGCTCCAATAAATGGAGATACAAAATAGAAACCTCTTAAATAGCTTGACAAATGGGTGCACAATCTCAACAGTAGCTAGCAACGGAAATCGATTGACTAGCAAGGTGGGTGATACAAATAGCAACCCTATGTACCCTCTACAGTGTGTCTCACTACAGCCTATTATGATAATGTATAACATTTGACACACCCCTATAGGCTAAGTGATGGGCATCAAAGCAAGCAATGCAAACAAACGGTCTCAAGACCAGTCAAGATAAGAAACAAGACATGTCAAAGTATAAATGTGCTATATGTTTGTAGGCTGTAGTGGGGTAGCCAATATGAGGTACAACCCCAACTAGGGTTTCCTATTTGTACCCTTGCTTCTTTCAATCCAATCATTCTTGCCTCATAGTTTTCACATGGTTTCAGAGCAGTAGGTCCGTTAGGACCGATTTTTTTTTTTCCTGGGCCCACCGAACGCCTGCCTGCCTGCGGTTACCGCGCTGCCCCACATGCGCCCTGCCTAGCCTGCCCGTCGCGCTACCCCTAATCCCGCGCCCGGCCCCTTCCCTGCCCGTCACGCAGCCCCTAAGCCCACGCCCGGCCCCTGCCTGCCCGTCGCGTTGTCCCTACGCCCGCGCCCGGCCCCCTGCCTACCGTCGCGCTGCCCCTAAGCCCGCGCCCGGCCCCTGCCTGCCCGTCGCGCTGCCCCTACGCCCGCGCCCGGCCCCCTGCCTACCGTCGCGCTGCCCCTAAGCCCGCGCCCGGCCCCTGCCTGCCCGTCGCGCTGCCCCTACGCCCGCGCCCGGCCCCTTGCCTACCGTCGCGCTGCCCCTAAGCCCGCGCCCGGCCCCTGCCTGCTCGTCGTGCTGCCCCTACGCCCGCGCCCGGCCCCCCTGCCTACCGTCGCGCTGCCCCTAAGCCCGCGCCCGGCCCCTGCCTGCCCGTCGCGTTGCCCCTACGCCCGCGCCCGGCCCCCTACCTACCGTCGCGCTGCCCCTAAGCCCGCGCCCGGCCCCTGCCTGCCCGTCGCGCCGCCCCTAAGCCTGCGCCCGGCCCCCTGCCTGCCCCTGCATCCTGCTTTACGCCTGCCTGCCTTGCGCTGCTGCCATGGCGACCATGAATGTGCTAGCTTTCGAACCTGACGGTCGCCCGATCGCATTTCCCACTTGGCTTGACGATCTAGAGCTTTTCCTTCTGACTGATGCCAAAGACGGTGTCTCGCTTTTCGACTACGTTACTGGCACTGCCGCTGCTCCTGCTGACAGTGCTCCTGCTGTAGACCGCTCACAGTGGCTGACTCGCGATGCTGCTGCGCGCCTTGCTATCCGCAACCATCTGCCGATCGCTGAGCGCGCGCATTTCAGTCAGCACAAAACTGCCAAGGCACTTTATGACGCAGTAGTTGCACGCTACTCCTCCCCAGCCACTGCCGCTGTAGGAGGCCTCATCCTGCCCTACCTGTTCCCTGACCTGTCCTCCTTCCCCACTGCTGCGGACTTGATTACTCACCTTTGCGATAGTGAGGCCCTCTTTAACGCCGCTCTTACTGACGAGTTCCGTGCCAAGAACCCCCCTCCGCTCTACTTTACCCTCTACCTCCTCGTCACCCGCCTCCCTGACACCCTTAGCACAGTCAGGGACCACTTCCTCGACATGAACGCCCCCGAGATCACCCTAGACGACTTCGAGCGGCAGCTTCTCCCCTCTTTGAGGGGTGCTCCCCCTCCCCCCTCACCCCCTCGTACGCCTCAGTTGCTACTCCCGTTGACCTTCCTGGTGCTGAGAAGGTCGCAGCTGCTTCCGCTCCTAGTGGGAAGCGCGGCGGGGGCCGGGGCGGCAAGGGGGGCAGGTTTGGCGGGGGTGGGGGTGGAGGGAGCGGTGGTGGGGGCGGTGGGGGTGGTGGGGGGGGGTGGAGGTGGTCGTGGGGGTGGTGGAGGTGGCAGCGGCGGCAAGGGGGAGGAGGCAGTGGTGGTGGGGGTGGTGGTGGAAGCGGGAGTGGGACCGGCAGCAGCAGCAGCAGCAGCAGCGCCAGACCCCCTCCTCTCAGCAGCTTCATGACTGGTATGCTGGGCGTGGGGCGTCTGGGGGTTCTGGTCGCTGCCCCTATGTCATTCTCACTGGCCCTCGCAAGGGCCGCACGTGCAACGGCCTTCACCCTGAGTCCCGTTGCTTTGCGCGCCTCAGCGATGCTTGGCGCGCCAAGTTCCCTGATGCCACTGAGTTCCCCAACTGGGCTGATCTGCTTAGGCGTGATGTCAATGTCTATGATCTTGACTATGATGCAATCCTTGCTGCCATGTATGCATTGACTGTTAGTGCTGAGGGTGACTGCTACTTGTGCGTTCCGCCTGACCCAGGTATAGAGACTGCAGCCCTAGGTGCTCGTGCGTCTGACCCCTCTGGTACTGCGTCCGCACAGGCTTTGCACACGTTTACACTTGACTCTGGTGCTTCTCGCTGTTTCTTTCGCGACAGCACCGCAGTCACCCCCCTCCCTGCACCTGTTCCTGTCTCGCTGGCTGACCCCTCTGGGGGCCCAGTGCTTGCACGTGCCACGACTGTGCTTCCGTGCCCGGCGGTCCCGTCTGGTGAGCTGTCAGGTCTCCATGTTCCCTCGTTCTCTACGAACTTGGTGAGCAACGCCGTCCTTCAGGATCACTGGGTTGACACCTGGACTCCTGGAGGACAGCGTGTGGCGATCTGTACCTGCTCCAAGACTGGCCGCCACCTGGCCACGTTCACCCGTGAGCCGGGGTCCAGTCTTTACACTCTCACCACTGTTTCACGCTACACTCCTTTGTCTCCACAGCTGTACGCGTCTGCTCAGGTAGCCACCCAGTGTGAGTGCCGCCGCCTGTCCCACGACACTCTCCTGTGGCACCACCGCCTTGGTCACCCCTCCCTGCCTCGCCTGCGTGGCATGCACTCTCGCTGTCTGGTCTCTGGTCTTCCCAGGTCCCTGCCTGCACTCCCTCCCTCGCCTGCGCCGCCCTGCATTCCTTGCGTCGAGGGGCGGCAGCGCGCCGCTCCTCACTCCTCCTCGTTCCCTCCCACAGAGGCTCCGCTGCAGACGCTCCACCTGGACGTGTGGGGCCCAGCCCCCGTCCAGGGTCAGGGCCGCGAGCGCTACTTCCTGCTGGTCGTCGACGACTACTCGCGCTACACCACGGTCTTCCCCTTGCGCAGCAAGGGGCAGGTCCCTGATGTTTTGATCCCCTGGATCCGCGCTGCTCGTCTCCAGCTTCGCGAGCGGTTCCAGACGGACTTTCCTGTCCTGCGTCTGCACTCTGACAGAGGTGGTGAGTTCTCCTCTGACCTCTTGCGAGCCTTCTGTGCGGAGCACGGCATCCGCCAGACGTTCACGCTTCCGGCCTCTCCGCAGCAGAATGGGGTTGCTGAGCGCCGCATTGGCTTAGTCATGGAGGTCGCTCGTACCTCCATGATCCATGCGGCTGCCCCCCATTTTCTGTGGCCGTTTGCGGTCCGGTACGCCGCGCATCAGCTCAACCTCTGGCCCCGTGTCTCCTTGCCGGAGACCTCGCCCACACTGTTGTGGACGGGGGAGGTTGGCGATGCGTCGCGCTTTCGGGTCTGGGGTGCTCGTGCCTTTGTCCGCGATACCACCGCGGACAAGCTCTCCGCCCGCGCCATTCCCTGTGTCTTCCTTGGTTTTCCTCCTGACGCGCCTGGCTGGCAGTTTTACGACCCCACCTCGCGCCGTGTCTTTGCGTCTCAGGACGTCACCTTTGACGAGTCCGTTCCCTTCTACCGTCTCTTTCCCTACCGTACCTCCCCTCGCGCCCCCCCGCCGCTCTTCCTCACCCCAGGTCCTCCCCATGTAGATCCCCTTCCCGCGCCAGGTCCTGCCCCTTCAGGTGTTTCTCAGGTAGACCCTCCCGTACCTGCGCCTGTTGAGGTCACTGGTGACTCTGGTCCTGCTGGAGGTGTCGTTGGTTCTGGGGGTGCTGGTCCTCGGGGTGCGGAGCCTAGGGGTGCGGAGCCTGGGGGTGCGGAGCCTGGAGGTGCTGAGCCTGGGGGTGCGGAGCGTGAGCGTGAGGTGCCTGGAGGTGCTGAGCCTGCGAGTCAGGAGCCTGGTGGTACTACGCCTGAGGGTGCTGTGTCTGGGGGTGCCGTGCCTGTGTGTGTGAGACTGGGGGAGCTGGGCCTGGAGGTGAGCCGACTGAGGGTACTGCGCCTGCTGGGACGCGGTCCCCGTGGAGCGACCGCCTTCGTCCGCGTGTACCTCTCACCTCACAGCAGCTGCACGACTGGTTCGGGCGTCG